GAGTCCAGTCGCGTTATCCTTATTAAAAGTGCACATGAGGCAAAACAATTCCGTTAGCTACGTTCCTTATGCTTTTCACTGTGATGATACATATTTTCATGATCTTCTAATCATAAACGATTTAGAACCAGGATTATTTTATGAAGCCAGGCAATCAATACGCGCTTTCCGATTGGTTTGTCATATTATCCTTTTATAACAAGCATCGAAACAGGGACGGAGGAATCTTCTTGGAGGTTACGGAAAGGGGAGTGGTGACGATGTGAGACTCCCCAGCCTCAGGGCGTCCCAATGGCAATGTTCCACCAACGTCGCTGCATAACGATATTCTTTCATTCGGCTTAAAATGCCAATGGCCGCCTAAATGCAAAACGGCCCTCATAAAGGCAAAATTCCTGCTCACGATTCCTCAGAACTGCATGTGCGTAATTTCCAGGAACCACGTTTTCTACATGAGAGCATTTTCAGCGGAAGGTGGCGAGCACTTACGAACGTAAGCGATGAATTAAAGAGTTTCGAAGATGCATTTGTTCACTGTGAGTTGGTTCCATGTAGCGCAAACAAGTATTATAATGGAGGAACTTACATTCAATCAGAAATCTCGTATATCAATATCACCTTTGCGTTTCGATTTCGGAGTATATAGTTCTTTTAATGAGCACGTGCAGAGTGGTTATTTGCAGAATGTCTGTCTTCAGTTGGAGTCTCTCCGTTTAAGTCATAATCCACGAAACAATTCAGGTAGAGCAGACACGTCCGGCATCACTTTCACCGTTGCAGTTGCAAGTGAGATTCGCTTCAGAACATCTTCAGTAACATTTACATCTGCCAACGCTTAATTCGCAAGTGGTGAGGCAATACGCTAATAAGGCTAAGGGTCCTGTACCATGTTTGTGAAATATCTATGATGCCTTATATGAAGTCTCTAATCTAAGCAAGTCTAGCTATGTGTGGCTTTAAATCACTGCTTGAAGAAAGGCTCCTTTAGAATTTTGTTCGGTAAATATTAGCATTTCACTGGCTTAATCATATTGGAAAACACATGGCAACCTATACTTCATTGTGACTATGATTAAGATCACTGTAAAACACAAGGGTTATTTCCTTTGAGTTAACTGACAGGCTTTCGGTATCAAATATTTGGAACTCCGGCCCAAGGTGATGTTATGCTGTCTGGAAATATAGCGTTTTTGTAATGCTTTGGTTGCACTTAATGATAAGTGATTGTTAAATGTACATATGACGTTTTTGAAGGATAATCTCAGTTGACTCAGAGACTTTGCACGTTTTCCCCACTCTTTCCACACCCATCCTTCAGTTTTATGTTTGTGACATGATCTGCACACTGATAATTTAAAACAGGTATATAAATAATAACTGTTTGCAATCTTTACCCAGTTTAGTTTTCCAATTTTTAGCAATTTTCAGTTTCTATTATTTTCTGGAAATTTTGTACGGAGGTGCATTTAACAGTTTCACCCAATAACAGTAAAGCATACAGATAATACGTTTCGGTAGTTTGATAGGTTAATGGTTTACATTATATTCCATGATATTGGGATGCCAAAATGATTAACATTATTATATAATGTATAACAAATCAGACAGCAAAAGCAAAATTTAAAACGCATGAGCAACATAAATAATGTCAGGTAGTTAGCTTTTCAATAATTACAGAAACTGCTTAGTTATCTAGCTTTATGAACTAATTGCAGTCACTAGAGTTTTCTATATTTCTATAATCTACCCCAGAGATGGAAATTTGAGAAAACGTCCGTATAGGACAATATCTGTATTCCGAATCAAAAAGAGGCCATCCCAAGTAGTGGTGTGTAACGATTCATCGATAGTATCGATGTTTGCATTGTCAGCTATGCGATACGAATGCATCAATACAAAACACATTTAGGCAATACATCAGGATATTTATATCGCGAGGTCCAATGATACATCGATGTATCGCCACAAGAGACGATATATCCCGATACTACTTAAGTACTACTTAAAGTTGTAAGGAGTATTGCATTAGAATAGGAAGGGAGTCTCTTTCAAATCCTTCTGAAATTTAAAAACAAATTGAGCCTTGTAGGAATTTGTTTATATCTGTTACATGAACAAAGGAGTTGGTGTAGAAGTGAAAGAGTGTGAACATGTTTCAAAAGCTCTGTGAACTGTACAATACTTGTCTTCAAGTAAATGAAATATGCTTTAGTTGTTTGACACATAACACCATTTATTCACAACTATGAATGATGTCTTAGGTTTGTTAAGAAAGAGAACAAAGATAAGATACAATTTAGACAACAGACTTTAAGAGTTTTTTCAGTGATTCTGAATTCTACATATAAATAACATTGAATTGTTTGTGAAAGAATTGGTGTGAAACATAACTTCCCAAGGAAACTTCAGTTTCAAATTCATTTTCAGGCGTGCTGAACATGTTTGACTGAACCTTCTTCAACATGAAATGCTGAAATTGTATTAGCTCAACAGCTTTTCTTTTCTTTTCTTTTTTTTGTGTGTGTGTGTGTGTGTGTGATGTAACACAGGTTTTAATGAATTTATAACTATTTTTAAGTCACGATATGGCTGAAATATTGCCACTATGACTATAAACTTAAACTCACTCACTCACTCATGATATATCGTCTCGCCTCATTAAACTGGTATCAGAACATATGGTCTCCCACTTAGGCTACGAAACACAGCTCTAATACCAAGTATGTGCATATAAACACATTTACAACTGTTACAGAAATTTACATCGGGAATCATTAATACATTGTAATCATCCTTTTGAAAGTATAGATAGCTATGATCATGGTATGATAACTCATACAAGTGTGCACTAAAATTAGGGACCTACCGGTTCATGTCTGTGTGAACACACCTGTCTGTGTTTTATTGCAATAAGCAGTCTCTTCTTGTATGTCATACATGAGAAGTGTACCTAAGGTCAGTTATTTAATCTATAATGTAATTTCCATTGCAAAAAGTATAAACAGTATTACCTACTGATCAGAAGGCTTATCAGTACCCCACCGCCACCACCCCAGCCTATGCCTACCCTATCCCACACCCTCTTCCTCACACACATGCACACGTGCACACACCCCCTAACATACATATCGCTCTGGCCCATAGACCCAATATTTGAACCTTTTAAACAGACATCATGTGTATGTCAAGAAAGGCAGGCACGTTAATAGTGGTGCTCAGTATCACTTCGCAATGTGTTTCCTAATGATCTCCGTGCATTATGGCGTAGTCCGACTCGCTAACGAACCCGATGTGACAGTTACATTACTGAACCATTGAAATACATGTTAAAGTAGTGTTAATCATGTAACACTATATTTACCAAATACCAACGATTTACGCGTGTACTAAATATATGACAAACCTAACCCTGGTCATACGAGATTTCAAAGGTATTAAAATGCATGTCCTACAATCACAGCATTTACATATGTTACACATGCTAGAAAACACATGAAAACAATGGCCAGATTTACACACCTGTGAAATACATGTAAATACAGAGTTGAGTGTTCGTTTATTTTAACACCCCTTTAAACGTGTAAATCTGACAGCCAGATGATACGTATATTTCAAACGTTTGTTCATATGGACGCCGGATGAAACGTATATTTTCCTAACGTTAGTAAATTTGGGTAATATAGTCATTTTGTGTGGTGCTATGAAGTCACAATGGTCTGCAAAACACTGTGATAGGATTTCGCTGCACCTATGTCTCTTCGGTTGATTTGTTGGTTTGTTGTTTAACACCTCACTCAGCAATATTCCAGATATATGGCGGCGGTATGTAAATGATAAAGACAATCCAGTGATCAATATCATGAGCATTGTTCTAAGCAATTGGGATACGACGACATGTGTCAACCAAGTCAGCGAGCCTAAACACGTACCCGATTCCGCTAGTCGCCTCTTACGACAAGCATGGGTTTCTGAAGACCAATTGTAACTCGGATCTTTACGGGTCTGTCTCTTCGGAGATATTTCTATATTTCAAAGCAAGCGATATCTCCTGTTGAAGCCTGTTGATAGATGACGGAGGTGCAAATAACTGCAGCAAAACGTCGCACAGTTCTTTTCATGGGTGCACGACATTTGTTGTTTTTATAAGTAGGAAAAATATGGAAAATATCAGCACGGACTATCAATTATCCAATTGAATATTTGCAATTAGCATTACAGCCAATTGTTGAAAATGCAATATTTAACATCTGTGCGTAATCCATAGGAGCACAATTTCACCACAATATTGTCTTGTCAGTACTTGTGTGTCACACAAACTAATATCCGTGAGGGTCAACGGAATACGACCTTGCAAAAAAGAGATACAAGAGAGCAGGAACAATATACATGGTACATCCACTTCATCAAATAAAGTAATCAAATTCATGAACTACTTCCTAACAATATGCGATTACAAACAGCTGACAAACGAATCACGTAAACTACTTACACTGTACGACAACATTGACGTTGCAGCTCGTTTCATTCACAACAATTCCGACATCGTTTGAAGCAGTAAGGGTATATATACCCGCATCGCGACGGGTTATGGCCGAAATGTTCAACGACGTGTTCTGATAGCTGTTGCCTCCTGTGTACCGGTCCCCAGTCCTGTTGACCGGGGTGCCGTTGAGTTTCCAGTCTACCACGTTTGGTGGCATGACGGCGTCGATGGCGGCGGAGATTGTGATTGAAGAATGCTCGACGACCTCCAGTGTTGTGTTTGAGAGAATAATGCATTCGGGGCGATCTGTAAGCACAAATCTGACCTTTTCAATTCAATACATAGCTGATCGCTTAACCCTAAAAATGAATGAGTAGGTACAGTTCATTAGAAACTTCAGGTAACTAATTTATAAAAGAAAGCTCAACGGCGACACATGTCGAAGACGTTTATCATTAAGTTAAAATCAATGTTCAACGATATGGAACAGACTTACAAACAGTCATATCCAGCGACGAGAATGAATGAATAAGACGGTTACCTGACTTCAGTATTTATGTGTCAGTTTTATATCATATGTAATCGTAATATGTAAAAAGTATTCAACATCTGTAAACACGTTAAGTTAGTTCACTGAGGATGTGTGCACACACAATCACAGTATCATAATCATATTTCAAACTAGATTCCTGATTATATTTATAATCGCCGATTGCTTCAGGCGTTCATATTTCGAAATTCCAAAGTTTACACGCATATGTGTACTGAAATAATGACACAGCGATACTTACAGAGAACTCGAAGGAAGACAACGCAGTCATCTACACCTTCACCCACGGTGTTGTTGGCATGCATTGAGTAAAACCCAGTGTCATGCCGTTGTATGCCATCTATGGTCAGGGATGGGACCGTGTGGTTACCGCCACTGTAGTGAGAATTGTTCCTGGATATGGCGGTGCCGTTCAGTAACCAATCCATAAACCTTAGGGGAGGTAAGGACATCACTGTGACGTTTATTGTAATGCTGCTACCTTCTGTTATCTCGTATGTAGTGGGAAGTAGGAGAGTACAGCTTGGTCGGTCTGACAATGTAAGGTTAGATTTTGCAGATGAAAAATAAATTTCAATTTCAGTATTTAAGACAGAAAAGTAATTATGTTTTACATTGCTGTGTGGCTACCTTCCATTCCGAGTACAGTCTGATATGTAATGGTATTCACTTCCAGACTTCCATGACAGTGTGTATCATTTATCATCAAATACTGAGTACATTTCTTATCATCATCACGAAGCGTTAGAAAATTGAAGGTACTGCAAATGGTAGATAGCATATTCACAGAAAGTAATACCACAGTCATGAAGATATCTAATACCGTGTGTTTACTTTTTTGAATTGGAGGTCGTAGTCCAAAGACAAATTGTCAAATTACATTGAAAGTTTAACCATATGTCCGGAACGTACACTGAACTGTAAGGTTGGTACGACAGCCTGGAACCGAACGTCCAGTGTCTTTGTTTGTGACACTGATGCTGTAGCTCCCGGTGTCCTTACGGTTAGCGTTGATGAGCGTTAGGGACGGAACGTTGACGTTACCCTGGTGGAAACGTGTGTCATTTCTGTTTATGGAGTTACTCCTTTTGAACCAGTCGACACGTGACTGTTTCGGATAAGTTGTAACATTAACTTCAAAGGTATAAAGTTCAGTCTCATTGATTGTTACAGTGGGTGGGCTGAAGCAGTCTAGCTCAGGACCATCTGTAAATTAACATTACTGTGCATCAAAGACATTGAATATAGAATCATTGTCTGAAGTCGTTATGGCTCAAATTTATTTCTCTCAAACAGTCTGAAGAATAATTCAAAAATAGTTTCAAAAATTATCTAGGACAATACTGAGATAAATCCCAGTCCCCCAATTCCATAATTGTTGTATCTACGCGTGTCACGTAGCATGTCACGGAATTTTCAGATGATGTTTGTTTTCTTTGACCACATCTAAAGTCACCACTTTTAGAGCAACGTACTACATGGATCAAACAATGAAATCTTTACGTGTATCTCCTCTACTTACAGTAGACAGTGATATTACTTGTGCAGTTTGATTTTATGAGCCCACTGACGTTGTTGCTAGCCGTAAAGTTATACACCCCGGCATCATGCCTGAAACATGGACCTATAGTAAGATTTGGCATGGCGGCTGTGCCACCACTGTATCTGGGGTTGGTTTTGTTGATGGGGTTCCCCTGATGCAACCACTGGACGGAGGAGACATGAGGGTGCGCTGATACAGATACATCGAACGTTACACTCTCGTCTTCTATGACCGTCCTCTGTGTGTTCTGAAGTAAGGTACAGATCGGGGCGTCTGGAAAATAGCAAATATGTTAAGGGTTAAAGTTTCATTATTGTTTGCAGATGATGACACAAAGGCAAACACATGTATGTATGCACTCTCATATAAATATATTTTCAATAATTAGTTTATCAACTGATATTCAAAAACTAAATAGCTACCAAACTAAGCAAATCTGTTATTTCATGCAAGCGGGGACATCCAGACAGACGAGTTTACTCAAAAAGACTTAGTTAAACCCATTCAACACAGAACGCTGGAAAACCGGAGTCTCCAGACAACGGAGGCCGAAAAACCAGAGGCCCCAGACACCCCAGGTCAGAAAAATGACACATGTGTATACAGAAAATAATATAAAGCCATTTTAAAAGAATTTATTGCGTTAGTTTAAGTGTTAGTTACATTAATGGTTTCCGTCGATATCCCTACTGTTTTGGGTGTGGGGCTTCCGAGACGAAGCCCTACCCTTTAAACAGTAGGAATATTGAACCATGCACCGAGTAAACCATGAATGTAACTTACTTATACTACACTTCCGTTCGAGTTTTGATATTCTTTTTTATTATAAATAAATTTACATTCATTTGAACGGATTTTAAGAAAATGATTAATTATAAATTCCTTTTCTAGCATCTCTAGCATCTCCACTCTCATCATCTCTGCTTGAACATGTAAAGCACGAAATATTCAATCCCGGTCGCGAGTATCCAATAAACAAATCCTACCTGGTTGGGGCTGATATTGTAAACTGTTATTGTATAAAATGTTTAGTGTTATATTTAACAGCACATGCGCACTAATTCCCGAAGTTGCTCATTTCAACGCGATAGCTTTCCCGGTCAGCACGATAGCAATTTGAAGTAAGAGCCCTGAGCTTAAATCATGGAGTTTGAAGACTGGAAGAGTTTAACGCAAACTGACTCGTCGCAACATGCATTTGATCCCGACGACAAGGAGGATTTCAAATTAAAGAAGGAACAAGAAGCCCCTGACTTTGTTTACCTTTGTGATTGAAAAGGACTTGAAGCATTTCCAAAGGACTCGTATCCCAACAAACGCCGCTAAAAACACACGATGGTGTTTTACAATTTACGATACTTGGGTTGTCGCAAGGAATACTTGAGTGTGGACAGAAGGAAGGCAGACCAGTGAAGCGTCTGAGGGCCCGTATTACAGACGTGCCTTGGTACCATGTGGCGAGAATAGGATCCGGTTCTCCCAACAGAACCAGGGTATTCTCGCGCTCGAAAAGCTGTTCCCTTAAGTCTGTTGGGCAGATGGCTTCGAGGGAAATCACACTGGCCACTTGGGCAAGGTAAATTTGTAGTTTATTGTCTTCAAGCATAGCACTGAGATAAAAATCAATCTTTCACTTACATGATAATGATTACGTACGTCTCTTATAATTATCTGATTTTCTGACAAGAAATTTGAATATATGTTTTTAGGTTACTTTTAGCAACTCGTTTATGGAACGAGAAAATTTGATGAACAGCTTGTCCTGCAGCGCACTGGACACAGAAGCACAGCTGTCCGGGCGTACACGAGAACTTCTTCCGCACTTCTCTCTGACATGTTACAAAACCCACAACCAGCAAATACAGTTGCTCCTCTACCAACGTCAACAACTACAGTAACTACAGCAACAACGTCCACTTCGCCAGAAGGAAAGGCCGAGGATGGCTTAGTCCCGCCAAACAAAAAACTCTTTCTTGTGAAGTGCGCGAACGGATATGCGATCGCTATAACATTTTGATGTCAAGGAATAAACGATGTGTAACCCCTCTTGGCTTGTATGTTTTGCTTAGGACCATAAAGAGTTACAGTGAGCTAATATAGTTAATTTTTGTGGACGATGCACCTACTGTTTCATATCAAAACACAACAGCAGCCTTTATTGTTGTGTGTATGTTTACTTGAGTCCACCAGATAGCGTCAAAGTCAGTACTTTGTATGGCCACAATTGGCAGCAATTACTGCTCGGCACCGTCTCGGCACAGACTGGATAAGACTGCAATGCAATGGTCAGTTGTAGGCGCGTGTTTTGACGTTGACGTACACGTTGATCAGGTTCGTCCCATAGGTGTCCCATTGGGTTTAGATCTAGTGATCGGGCGACCATGGCAACACATTGACGTTAGAATTGCCGAGGTAGCCATTGTATGTGAAGTAGCGTCGTCAAGCTGCTACAACTTCCTCTGTCGGTCCATAATCGGAAGCATGTGATGTGCAAGGACTAAACGAATGACAAATTAAACCCGCATTCCATTTTATAGTGATTGATACCGCATGTTTTTTTCCGCTTACTTGCAAGAGCATTTTGCTTTGCATGTGTTCTTGGTGACGTTTTTTAAGAATATTTCTCCAAACGCTTCTACGAAAAGGGGAAAAGTTGTAATTGCCGCGTTTTGGCGCAGAAGCTGTATACAATCACACAAATATGACGTTTTGGAAAGACATATAACATAAGTCCATATTCTCAAAATCACATATGCGTTTCCTTTTTTTGAAGAGTGTATTTTTAGGAAATTGTTTCGCCGTACAATACCTCTCCTATTATTAATATTTTCAGTAATTATAGCGATTTCCTGCTTAAAACGTTCGGATTGACACTATTTAACCAAAAACATAAAAAAAATAAACTAGTGCCCAAAAGAAAGTATACAGTCTGTATGACCAAACTTGAAAAGAAAAGAAAAACATATTTAACTGAACATCTGTGTAATATTAATACAGTATTCAATTCTACAGCAAATAAACACCATTTCATTTCATACAAAGTCAAAAGTATCGTTTCACTGACACTGAAAGACACGTGTTATCATAGTCTGAACTTTTACACAAATAAAAATGTTTCTGCAAAATGTCATCAAATGTTGAATCAACAGTGAGTGTGGCCAACATTGGCTTCAATACACGCCAAAACACGTCGACGTATTGATGACGTAAGACGGCGAATGACGTTAGGCTTGATACATTGCCATTCCTCTAGGAGACAATGTTCCAGTTGTTGAGCGGTGACAGGTGGCACTAGTAGTCGTCTGCTTTGTCGATCCAGGTCGTCCCATAAGTTTTCTATCGGATTCATGTCGGGAGAACATTCTGGCCACGGTAGAAAAAACGATGTTAGCCTTATGCAGAATGTCGTCGGTCATTCTTGCTGTATTAGGCCTTGCGTTATTATCGTGTTTATTAACAATGCCACGTGGTGTTTCTGGATAAATGCAACACAACTGGTCGCAAGACTTCATCCCAGTATCTTCAAGCATTCAGGTTGCTATGAATAATCACAAGTCTCGTTTTGAGATCGCCGCAGATCCAACCCCACGATATCAGCCTACCGGCTCCAAACGGTCGGACTTGCTGAAGGCAATCCGGCGCTAAACGTTCACCTACTCGTCTGTTAACACGAGCACGGCCGTCGTTAGTGTAAAGGCAAAACCTACTCTCGTCGGTGAACATCACACGTCGCCAATCACGCATCTGCCAACGTCAAACTCTCCTGGTCCATGTCAACTGAAGAGTCAGATGCACTCCGCGGTAGGGTCGACGTGCTCGAAGACCATATTTTCTTAGTTGCCGGTACACTGTATGTCGACTGATAAGGTCTCCTGTCTTATAGCATCAGTGTGCACGTGCATTTCGTGTTCCATCAGAAAAAAGTCTGGGGTATTTTGGCGACGTTTAGGAGATTCGTTAATTTGTTTCGCCGTTTGTTCTTGGAAAGGATGGGTCTGTACGTGTGTGACATGGCTCAGTATGTTTTTATCACTTCATTTCTTATATTTGTGAATCTTTATGCTATAGTCTGCGGTGTATAGTTTCCTTTGAGCACTAGTTTGTCTGAAAGATATCGTGCACGAGAACGGTATCCATTGCCGTAATGTGACTGGCTGCATTAGGTAAAGTGCTTCATGTGGACCAATCACGACCCTTATTGCAGTTTGCCGCCACAAAACGTCATTAGGAACCAATTCTTATCCACTACAATCGCTTGTTAGAACTGTAAAAAAATTCCTGGCATGAAAGCAAGAGAAAGTGTCAGAATAGAAGATATAGGGGGCAGTCATTCGAAGCAGCGGCATCTGACCTCCGTCTCTTGTGCCATCAGTATAGAAAAGATAGTAGTTATCCCTCGTTTCAATAAGAGCAAGTTGATAATTTAAATAATGAGTGTCAGCATTTTTCACCAGGCTGTACACCGTTTCTTGGAGAGGTATCTCTGGCATTTTAAATTTAACAATAGTATGTATGCATGCACGCACGCACGCACAAACACAATCATAAAGCAATATAAGGTATCAAAATTGAATAGCAGTACAAATTCAGAATGAATGTAATACAAGAGCAGTGATTTCAGCATTAGAGACAATGATGTTAATATTCACCTCTCAGGAACAGTAATCCAACTTAAAAGTGAGTGAGTTTAGTTTTACGCCGCTAATTTATCGAAAGTATTGAAAATCAAAATGAAATTGTAGTTATGGTAAGGTAGATATGGTTTCGTCTTGAAAAAAAGTAGGGGGGAGGTAAGCCCCCCCCCCCCCTGTTCCTACGCCCCTGTTACATTCCTCTCTGAGCCAATAGATTGTGAAAAAGGCTCCTTGCAACAACTCCTAGATCATTCTGTCTAAATCTGGAAAAGTCTAAATATAGCACACTACTGTCCCTTACTGAATCTACAGGTACAATGTATAACGGTTGAAATATTGTGCCACAACCTAAAACACTGACTGTCATTAGATCATGTCTTTACACATAAACATTCTACTGTGCCTTCGTCCCAGTACATTATTTCGATTCTTTATGTATTGCGCTTTGACGCTGTAACTTTAAACTGACTTAACGTCAAGACCGAGGGATCTTTGTGTCACTTTTCAGAATATATTGATTTTTCTGTGCACATGCAGCCAAAGTATACAATCCTTCAACTACCAATAAGACCAGTTACTTTTCTTCGAAGGGTCAAGAGTGTGTTCTATGTGTTTACATTTACAGATTTCACCAGCTGA